TTTTTTTTTTTTTAAGAAGATTTGGGGTTGGGTGCAGTGGCTCATGCCTGTAATCCCAGCACTTTGGGAGGCTGAGGCAGGTGGATCACCTGAGGTCAGGAGTTCAAAACCAGCCTGGCCAACAAGATAAAACCCGGTCTCTACTAAAGATACAAAAAAAAATGAGCCAGGTGTGGTAGCGGGTGCCTATAATCCCAGGTACTCAGGAGGCTAAGGTAGGAGAATCACTTGAACCTGGGAGACGGAGGTTGCAGTGAGCCAAGATCGTGCCACTGCACTCCAGCCTGGGCAACAAGAGTGAGACTCTACCTCAAAAAAAAAAAAAGATTTGGAAGAGAGTTTTTACTCGTTAAGGTGTTAATATGTCCCTTTTCCTGGTAAGCCCAATTGACAACCTTGCTAAGCAATGGCTTTTAATGAAAAGCCATTTTTTTTTTTTTAAGAGACGGGGTTTCACCATGTCGGCCAGGATGGTCTCGATCTCTTGACCCCGTGGTCCGCCCGCCTTGGCCTCCCAAAGTGCTGGGATTACAGGCGTGAGCCAACACGCCCGGCATGAAAAGCCATTTTTTAAACCAAAATAATGGATCTTCAATGTTAGAATTAATGAATTTGGTAAAAATATCATTAGATATTGAATGCCTTCCTGGTATCCTGAAGATAGTAGGCTCATCTACCTACTCATAAAGATTCGCCCTTATTTTCTCTTCTTGGATTGAGTTGATTCTACTCTGAGCCTTCTTCCATATTCCATGCTTATGATTCAAGAAAATTCTCCATTCCCCTTAAATGAACACATTCTGGAAATTCAGGAGTGTGTCCTACTCACTAAATAGAGTTCTATGCCCACTTCTCAGTATTGTTTTGGCTCACAGCAGAGAGTGCAAACCCCAGCTGGTCTCCCAACTTCTGAGTCTTACTTTGATGACATACACAGCAGTATATGTTGCTAGACACAAGGTCCTCCCTTCTCTTCTTCGGGGTACTTGTGGCCGAAGTTAGATGTCTGACCAACCGCTTTTCCCCTGGTCAGAAGGCACAGGAAACCTCTAAGATCCCTCTCCCTTTTGTACTGAAGCTGCCGTAACACAGTGAAGAAGGAAGGGAATCTGAAAAGATGCGGGAAGAAAGATGGAAGAGCACCAGACCAGGGGTTAGGAGGATGAGAGGGTGACAGCAGGCTGGCACCAGGGTCGGGGAGCCGGAAAGCTAAAAGATGGGAGTTGTCAAATTGCAAATTCAGAAAGAATTTGGGAAGCGTGGGGAAGGGGTCCTGGGGGATCTGGAAACTTAGGGTAAAATGGAAAGACACCAGGAGCACAGTGGAGGAGAGGCCGGACAGTCCTTGTAGCTTTGTCAGCTCAGGGAGGCCTTGATTAAAATCACAATACTCTGATTTAAAAAAAAGGAAGCCCTTCTACCTTTGAGCATTTTCACCAACCAAACATCAGGGAAAGTGACTTGTTAAGTGTCTGTGTGGTAAGGAGAGAAACAGGTGGCCACAGTTGTGTTTTTTCTTTCTTTTTTTTTTCTCTAAAACCAGTCAAGCAGAGCCAGAAGCAGCAGTCACGACAAATTCTGGGCAGAACCCAAGATGGAAAAAGCAAACATTTGTATAAATAGAGGTGCAGAGCCCACAGCTTCCTGTTGACAAATCGGACTTGACTTTACCTCAAACCCTCATTTTTTTTTTTTAATAGCTGATAATGATTTTGTGTTATTTTTCAACTTGTCCAATCACTTAGAGTAAGGTTCTGGTCTTTTCCTAACCCTGGGTCTTGCAGTTCTTTTCTCTACGTCTGGTATTTTTCTCTTCTCCCTCCCTTTTCCTTTCTCCTGTCCTGACTGTACATGCCGGGCTACATTTATGCATTGATCTGTAGGGATTCAAGAAGATCTCATGAATTTGTAGGAGATTCACCTCTTCTTCCCTCCTCCACCAAAAAAAAAAAAAACAAAAAAAAAACCCCTAAACCAAACCAGAATAGGTAAGTTTTGAGCATAAGGAAATTCATTTTATGGAAAATAATCTGTATTATATTGAAGAGACTGATGGGTGTTAAGGTATGAACTGCATCTTTGTATACCATTTCCTAATATGTGTTCTGTTCCAAATCGTCAAACACGAGGAGTTATTATGAACGGTAATGAGAATTGTACCTGAAAACATTTCTTCCATCTATATAAAATTACCTTTATATATCCATCTATTCCTGAAAACAGATGAGATTTTAGGGGAAGGGGGAATGAAGTAGTAGTGGCA